CATACATCAAGCTAAAATCCAAAGTGCTAACAGATGAGACTGAGTCTAATCTAGACTGAGAGCGCTTACTGATTGCAATCAACTATGTCTGTTAGCAAAATATCTCAAAAAACAGATTTCCATGCAACCTTCAGAACGTAATCACTGGTTGTTCATCTACAGCTGATTAAGGATTCAAGGTTCTTTATTTGTCATACACACCACATGTGGTACATGTGGTGGAACGAAATTGTGTACGGAGTCCCAGTTACATTCAACAAAAGTATAAAATGTAAAAGAAAAACCGTAATAAGATCTAAGATATGAACTAAGAAAAATGTTAACTAAAAATACACTAAGCACTAGTAGTACAAAAACAATACGCCAAACAGCAGCACAAACATCCTGGTTAGAGATTCATGAGTCTAACAGCGTCAGGGTAGAAGCTGTTTCTCAGTCTAGTGGTTCTACACTTAATGCTCCTCAACCTCCTGTCTGAGGGGAGCGGGGCAAAAAGTGTGTGTGCTGGGTGAGTGGGGTCCTTCATGATGCAGGTGGTCCTCTTCCTGCATCTGGAGGTGTAGATGTCTGTGATGGTGGGGAGGCTGACTCCAACAGACTTCTGTGCAGCCTTCACCACTCTCTGCAGAGCTTTTCTTTCTGCAGCTGTGCAGCCTCCATGCCACACGTTGATGCTGGAGCACAGGATGCTCTCCACTACACATCTGTATTAATCATTGGCATCAAACCAGTTCAATATGGCCACCACATTTAATCAATTTAAACAAACAAAAAATAACTACACTGCAGGGAATTTTACAAATAATGTCATAACAAATTGGTGTAGTAGCTGAGTCATTCACAACACATACTCTTAAGTGCTGACAGATCATGCAGATACCAAATGAGGGGGCGAAGATGGGGTGGAGGCAGGGCAGCCAACTCAGGACCCGAAAGTCCCAGGTTCAGTCCCCAGTCATTGCACATCTCGTGGTGTCTCTGAGCAGAACACCCTATCCCCAGTTTCTCCCTGGGCACCCCCAGTAGCTGCCCACTGCATCTCCTGGGGGTGGATGGGTTAAATGCAGAGAGCCAATTTTGCCATTGTATGGAAACATACAATGACGACAACAGATAGCATTATTGTTATTATTATCGACTGTGCAGAATGCTAAAGTTTACCTAAAATGGTTATATTCTATCATTTCTCAACTCAAGATGAATTTAGTCTAAAACTTTGGCATAAAAGGTGCCCAACAATATGCATTCCTTCAAGGAATATTAGGCTTTTAATTTATTTTCTGTTTCCACATAAATCTAAATAGAGTAATTGAATTCAGACATCCCAGTATGACTTGCTGCTAATGAATTGCTGTTATTCAGTTTGACATTTTTCCAGCAATTTCACATTTATTTGTGCATTTATTTGCTAATAGGTGATTAAATTGCTCTAAACGCATGATATCTTTCTAGAACACATTGCAACACTGCCCAGTACCCACATCCTTGAACAAAGACAGGCTTTAGGAGGGGACAGAATTAAAATTCAAAGACAAGGCAGTTCATTTTAGTTTCACAGACCTCTGTGCGAAAAACACTTGACTGATTTTAATCACATTCTTATTTATTTCAGCTTGGAGCTCAGGATAACTATTAAGCCAGTGGTGATTTGTATTGCTTTCAAAGTGTAACAGCACCATCTAGCAGGTTTGTGCAGGTACCATTGAGGGATACCAAACCTATTACATTTCTTTGCCTTCACAGCACAGCTCAAACAGAAAATATGAATTTGCAGAGTGTTTTTACTGAGAGCACTTTATCCCTCTTGTTTGTTCTACACTCCATTCGCTCATACTTATTGTGTACATGTGTCTTCACTTTTCAGTGCTATAAGACAGCCAAATAGGGAAAGTGAGTCATGGAATATGATTGGCGTAAGGCAAATAAAAGAAACAACTCTATTTGAGAAGCACTGCATATTGCTTTTTGGAAAGAAACTAGTCTGTAAACAAAATTTGCATTAAAAAAGCTTGTGTCCTTTTCAAAGACCTTACTTATCAGTCATACTGCAGAAGACACTCCCTTCTATACAAATCTGCTATAGATTGTTTGAAATCCAAATAAGGAATAAGTCTCCCATGATAATATATTGGGTTTTAAGGAGAAAAATGTTTGAAGAAAGCAGCATTTTTTTAAAAGTATTATAAGTTCTGAGAAACTAATTGGATCTAAATATGTACACTATTTCTTACTACTTTTGATATTCATCCATTTTCTGTGTGGTCAGGTCATGGAGGCAACAGGTTTAGGGGAGAAACCCAGCCATCCCTCTACCCAATGACACATTGCACCTCCTGGTAGATCCAAAAGCACTTTTGGATCATAAAGGACACATAATCCCTTTAGCAAGTTCTGGGTCAATCTTGGTGTCTTCTTCCAGTGGGACCTGTCTGGAAAACCTCCAGAGGGAAGTGTGCAGGCGACATCATAATCAGATACCTGAACAACCTCAGTGGAATCCCTTCGATGTGGAGGAGCAGCAGCTCTGCTTTCTCTAGACTCCCCATGACAACAGGCCTCCTCACCTTATTTCTAAGGTTGAATCTAGCCACTGTACGGAGGAAGCCCATTTTTGCCGCTTGTATATAGGATCTTGTTCTTTAAGTCATAACCATAGGTATGGGTTAACATAGACTAGCCAGTAAACCAAGATCTTTGCTGTGTTGACTCAGCATTTTCTTCACAAAAGTCTGGGGCTCACTTCACACTGTTGAGAGTATTGCTCCAAACTACTTATGTCCTGCTTCTTCCTACCACCACTGTTGAACCACCCATCCAAATACTGGAACTCCTCCACATGACACAGGGACTCACCTCAATCCAGGGAGAGCAGGAGGGTGAGACTATACTCCACATTGTTTCAGGGGATTCTTGGGTGTTCTCAGACCAGAGAGAATACATAATCCCTCTAGCAAGTTCTAGGTCTGCTCCAGGGTCTCCTCCCATTGGGGCATGAGTGGAAAATCTCCAGAGGGAGGACTTTAGAAAGAATCCTAATCAAACGCCCAAACCACCATTGACCCCTTTCAAGGTGTAGGCTCCATCTTATCATTCATGTGAACAAGAATCCCAAGATACAAAACTCACCACCAACCCAGAGAAAGCACTCAACCTTTGTCTAGTTGAATTGTTTAGATAAATAATGTTCGAGCACATTTAAATCAGACTTCTTTACTCGTCAACATCTTTTTCTTAAAATGTTTCTTTCTCATAAAGAACTATATCTCTTCTTATTTCTCGTGTTTTTATTTATTCCACTCCCAGCTAGTTGTCAGAGTTTGTGTATGTGTGACCAGTGGCGCAAAAAGCGGGTATGCAGCGTATGCAACGCATAGGGGCGCTGCACTGCAGGGGGCGTCAAAACCCTCTGTAGAAAAAATGTTTTTCTAGTAGGCATTTTCTAAATGATCAATAACAGGGGAACAGCACTGATTAGGCGCCCCTCTGCTCCTTCACCTCCCCTCTGCTCCTTCACCTCCCCTCTGCTCCTTCACCTCCCCTCTGCTCCTTCACCTCCCCTCTGCTGCTTCACCTCCCCTCTGCTCCTTCACCTCCCCTCCTATCGCTCTCCCTTCCCACACAGGTGGCTGTGAACACGCCCCTAAGAGAACGCACTCGGCGCGTTTTTTTTTTTTTTTTTTAATCTTGAACTACCGCTCGTTGTGCACTTGACAACAAGATGGAGCGGCAGAAAAAAAAGCTATCCGGGGCGCAAAACAGAAAAAGGAAGTCACTTGACATTGCAAGCAAAATAGCCATCGAAATGGATGCTTCTCCTAAGTTCAAAGAGAAACGACTTAGGAAGCAAAAGAATTTCCCAGATGACAATTCATGCACTGGTCATCATGAAAAGGAACCCACAAGGCACTTCAGGTGCATGGTTTTCAATGTTATTGTTGACACACTCCTCCAAGAGCTGTCTGAGAGGTTTTCCAATTTTCAACTTGTGTCTGAGAAATTTAAATTCATCACTAAAATGGAGCACATGACAAAAGCTGAGCTGGAGGAATCAGTGACCACATATGCCCTGACCACTTGTGATGTTTCAAGAGATATCATTCAAGAAATATACCCAGCAAGCCGTCTACTGAAGGGTTACAAGGCTCTAGAAAAGTTAAATTTCCTAATTCAAGAGGACCTTGATTTGGTATTTCCAAATTTGACAGTAGCCCTTAGAGTATTTTTAACCATGCCTCTGACAGTTGCATCTGCAGAGAGATCATTTAGCAAGCTGAAGCTCATCAAAACATACCTTCGTTCAAATATGAGCAATGATCGCTTGTCCCAGTTAGCAGTGATCTCTATTGAAAACAGTGTGGCACGGTCTATTTCATTTGATGTTATACTTGACAAATGGGCAAATGCAAAGTCACGGAATGTAACAGTTTAAATGTCATAAATGTTAAAACTCTGACATGGACTCCAGGCTGTTAAGATGTCATATTTCCGCTACATAAAATGTTGAGCACTGACTGAGTACCACTACTGTTATATATTTGTACTTTATAAAACTTCTTATTTGTTTATGATTGAAATGATCACCTGATATAATATGTAACATTAAAAAAATCTGTAATATTACTACTGTATTTTCTAAGTGCATGACTAAGCTGTATGAGGCGGCAAGTAAAAAGGAGCGGGTGGGGGGGGCGCCGATGATGTGTTCGCATCCACCTCAAAAATATGTAGTTGCGCCCCTGTGTGTGACCATCATTAAAAATGTATAACCTTTCTCCAAACAGTGTCCCGACAAGCCTCCCAAGCTCACTGGATATCAGTCATTAAAATTTAGCAAAGAGTGCAAAGCCTGGCCTGTAGGTAGGCATCAGGTTTCCCAGTCAGGCTGGGGATAAATTTTTCAAAGTCCTATTACCTCGAGGCTGTGCACTGTGACATTACAGTTGTGTGTCTCTGCAAGAGCTGCAGCTGAGGTTAAGAAAAGCTGAATTTACAATAACAATATGAGTCTCAGCGTTGCCATAATCATTCATTTACTACTGCTTGTTGACAAGGCTTATACTAAAAAAGGTGAGTTGGTATTTTTTATCTTGATGAAATTCTGTTTCAGTATAATAGGATTGTTTTATTTTGTGGGGACTGTATACAGATAATGTTGCACTTCAATTGTTCAGTGTCAGTTTATGTTACACTTTCATGGATTGCATCAGCTAAGAAAACAGGAAGCGTATGAATAAAGCATTATTCTTCATTCGTATGGTTTCCTTTGAACTGAAAACTTTATTATTATTATTTACTTTGTGTTATTAAGGTGTCAAATGTGGAGGAGTCCTCTCAGGCCCATCTGGTAATTTCTCCAGTCCAAACTTCCCAAGGCTTTACCCCTACAACATTCACTGTTCCTGGCTGGTTGTGGTGCCAGAGGGCTCCTCTGTCCTCCTCACCTTTCATCATTTTGAGCTGGAGTACCATACCAGCTGTGCTTACGACTATATCAAAATATACAATGGCATATCTGAGGATGAGGGCAACCTTCTTGGGACATTTTGTGGCGACACATCTCCACCTCAGTTCACCTCTTCCTGGAATGTCATGTCTATTATCTTCCACTCAGATCGCCATGTGGCCAACAGGGGCTTCAGTGCTGGCTACAGAAAAGGTAACTTATTATATTAATGAACTATGACAGTGATAGCTTGTGATAACTTGGCTATATATCAAAAATTTTAACTAATTTTGAACAGCTCTAATATTTTGGCACTTACCTTGCCATAATATATTATGGTGGGGTTATATATATTATACTGTATATTCATCTGGACCTGCAGTTATGTGGACCACAACTTTATTATTTCAATTTAGAAAAAAATGTGTCATAGCAGCATGGTTTGTTTTTTTTTTGTTTGTTTTTTCTGATTAGCATATTGGCATACTAACACAACACAAATATGGAGTTGAGCCTAGAATAATTCATTTTTACACATCTTATTGTGTTCAATTTTATACATTTTCTTCAGGGTGGCTGATTACATAGGCTTTAGAAAAAAATAAAAGATAAAACCTAACGAAAACTATTTTGACTGCATAGCTCTGATAAATTTCATAAAAAGTCCATGTGGGCAGCTGTGGCTGAGTGGTTAGAGCAGTTGTCCTCCAATGCAAGAGTTGGGGGTTCAATTCCACCAGCAGTCACATGCCCAAGTGTCCCTGGGCAAGACACTGAACCCCTCATTGCCTCCGATGTGTGTCCCGTCAGTGTATGAATGTGATAAAGCACTGATTATTCTTTGTAGAGATCTAGTAGAGTGCTGTACGAATGGGTAAATGAGGACACAGATTCTAGTGTAAAGCACTTGGAGGATCTTGATAAGATAGAGAGGTGCTACACAAGTAGTTCATTTACCATGTCTGTCCAGCTTTAAGGCTGTCTTCCATAACAACTTTATTGTAATACCCTTTCCCAAGGTTCAAGAATAAACGTCTGAGCCATCTTGATCAGAGCAGGTTTGCATTTTGAGGATGCAACTCAGAAAAACTAGCATAAAATTGGTCCTCGTGCATAGCAGTCAACAAATACTCCACAAAAAGCTTAACATTTTATAAAGCTCACACAGCAAGTAAGTATTTTATTAGTTAAATGGAAGTAGTTCTGTTTGATTCGGGATATGGTTTGTATTGGTGTAGCGTTTAGCCCAAAGCACACCATCTTCACCGTTAACTATGGTAATTGTTTGTTTTCTGGTCCTTGGATGGGGGCTAGGTAATGTCATAAACAATAAACAGCCTCATAAAATAAGGTGATTCAAAATTCTATCTAAGATGCACTAGAAAACTTGAGGTTGAACAACTTCAAACGAGACAACAATCCCTAAAGGTATACAGGCACTGGGCTTTAAAATGAGTAAATCAACCAAATCAGATCAATATCAGCACGTTTGGAATGGGCTATAAAGATTGCTGCAGAAAAAGAGTGGTTCAAAATCTCAATGAAGAGGTGGAAATAGGTTTGCAAGCAATTGTATTGACTGCTATGATTATATATAAAGATTTGGGAATTATTGAGAAAGACTGTAAATGACTGTCAAGACATATGGCAATTTGCTGCTTGTTTTCTATGATCTATGTTTTACTACTTATGGTTCCTTTACAGAAAGAAAAAATAATAATTTTGCCTCCTGTCCTCTTTAGATGTGTGTGGTGGTGTTCTGACCGGACTGTCAGGTGTAATATCCAGCCCAGGCTACCCTCAGGATTACAGCAACAATGCAGACTGCTCCTGGGCAATCCATGTGTCCAGCATGAGCGTTGTCACCTTGGTCTTCTTGGACTTCCAACTGGAAAACAATGACGGGTGTAATTTTGACTTTGTTGCCCTGTTCGACGGCCCAACGGTCAGCCATCAGCACCTTGGCAAATACTGTGGGGCAGACAAACCCCCCAATATAGTCACAACTTCCAATCAACTTCTAGTGGTCTTCAAGTCAGACTTTAATATCGGAGGACGGGGATTCAGGGCCTATTATTACTCAGGTGAGAAAATTTAATTTGGGGGTTCCTTTGCTCCAACAGATATGACATTTTCCTTGACTGCTTGTGTTTTTAGTGCAGGGGTCTGCAAACTTTATGATCAAAAGAGCCATTTCTGCCCCTTCGTTCACTAAATTAAACATGTCCAGAGCCACAGAACCTGCTGCAATTGTCGTTATCAACTGGTGGCCCATGGGCCACTTTAAGATTGTTAGAGGGGGCTTCTCTGGCCAGTAGGTGTGAAGTTATAAAACTAAAAACATCAGATGATTAACATTTGATATTTTTACATTTTAAGACGAAAAGAATGGATTCCTTCCATACATCCATACATTGTCTTTACTCGTTTCTTCCTTTTCGGGTTGCAGGGAGTCACTGGTGCCCATATCAAGGTCAAGGTTTCTTTATTGTCACTCGCATCATATGTGGTACATGTGATGGAACAAAATTGTGTACACAGGGTCCCAGTTACATCCAACAAAAGTATAAATTGTAAAGAAAAACAGTAATAAGATCTAAGATATGAACTAAGAAATACGCTAAACTAAGAATATGTTAAGTACTAAGAAATACGCTAAACTAAGAATATGTTAAGTACTAACAGTACAAAAGCAATACGCCGAACAGCAGCACGAACATGAGTCTGTGTGAGATGAGTACGAATGGGGGCCTTCCTGGGTGGAGTTTGCATGTTCTCTCCATGCATGCCTGGGTTTCCTCCGGGTACTTCGGTTTCCTCTCACAGACCAAAAACATGCATGTTAGGCTGATTGGTAACTTTAAATTGTCCCTAGGTGTGAGTGAGAGAGTGAATGGTTGTTTGTCTTGTTTGTCTCTGTGATGGACTTGTGACCAGTCCAGGGTGTACCCCGCCCCTCACACAGTGATTGCTGGACATGGGCACCAGTGACCCCCGTGACCTAAAATGGAAGAAGCGGGTAAAAGATGATGGATGGATGGTAATTGAGTATTCTACTTTGAAGGAATAGAGCATAAAGTTAAAGTATAATTTACTCTGTGTATTAGTACTAGTGTCCACATATTTCCAAAGGAATTCGACAGGAAAACTGCTAAAACTACCAGTAGTCATTTTTTCTTGTGGGTGCATAACATCCTATAAAATTCACTTTTATGTTAGTTTTGATTAAAGCTTGAAAGAGCCGCTGCAGAGGGACCAAAGAGCCAAATGTGGATCCAGAGCCCTAAGTTGCAGACCCCTGTTTTAGTGCAACTGAATGAATGTAAAAATCAATGGCATATGTTGTTTTTGCTGCCAGATTTGAAATAGTTTGTTCACAAAAAGTCGACCAAGACAGACCATGAGAGCACATAACAACAAAGAAAGAAAATTAAACAAACAAACAAAAAAAACTTGGTTTTATCAATAGAACAATTGGATCTGTTATTTGGCTAAAACTAAGAGAAATCTAGTGTATTACATTATGTTTACTAAATAACAAACAAGCCACGCCTAAAACCAAAAGCATAAACATAATCTGTTTACGTGTATGGCATGAACAACATTTCATTAGCTTTGGCGATAATGCAAAGTTCCATTTTTCCACAGCAACAGTGCACACAAACACAAAGTTAAAATCTTAGTTGTCGAGCCAAAACTAGACTCGAAGACAACTGAAGGTCGGCATTAGAACTTTTAGGCAGCTGCTCACAGACGGTTCTCATCTGGCTTTAACATAAACCAACTGGCAAAGAAGAAAATCCTGTGAAACAAAGGATGCCATATTTACTTTTTAAAGTTTCTCATTAGTTTGACAATGTTGAAGGAAAAAAAAACAAAGTTGGGAAATTTTTTTTTAAAGTAGTTTAGTATTTGGGAAACATTCTTAAATGCTCTCAGAGTAAAGTGATGCTAGCCATGTTTAAAATAGTGTTTTTTTAACGGTACATGAACAAATAAAATGTACTTGGTTAGGTGAATGCCAGCAGGTCCTGTCAGCTGTAAGTGGCAACTTCAGCAGCCCTCTTTTCCCCAACATCTACCCAAACAACATCAACTGCCACTGGAAAATCAACCTAGAAGCTGGATACCGCATCAAACTCTTCTTCCCCATCATGGACCTGGAGGACCGTAACAGCTTGTCAGATAAATGTGACTACGACTCTGTGGCAGTTTATGATGGGGACAGCCAGATGGACGCCCTGCTGGGACACTGGTGTGGCAGGGAGCAGCCTCCTTCTCTCGTCTCGAAGGGAAACGAGCTGCTGGTGGTGCTCAGCACAGACAGAAATGAAGCTCATAGAGGTTTCACTGCCTCTTATCTTGGAGGTAATGGTAGTTGTACCTAATATTTTATTTGCCTTGCACTGTTTTACTAAGAGCTAATTGATTATGTCCACTTTTCCTGTGGGGACTGCAGGTTTAAGACAATACTGCTTAGGGATGCACAATATTGGATTTTTGGCTGATATCCGATGTGTTAAAACTTATTTTGCCGATAACCGATACTCATATTTTTTCCCTACCACAACGACAACACTTGAAGAGTGCAAATTTGCAAATTTTCACAAATCTAAACTCAACCTGTTCACAAGCGACAAGTGAAAAGTGCATAAGTAGTAGTGCATTAATAGATAAACTTGACCGCTTCTTAAATTAAAAGATAACTTAAAACAGAAGCCTTTTATTTCTGAGTTTTTTGATGGAATGGCCGATGTTCGGCCGATGTCCGACATTTTACATTATCGGTAATATCGGCCAATACTGATACCATGCCGATAATATCGTGCATCCTTAATACTGCTTAGTGTTTGCAGTCCAAATTAGGCCCGTCACGATAACAAATTTTGCTGGGAGATTGTCTCAGAAATTATTGCGATAAACGATAGTTTGAAATTTGACAATAATTAGTCATTGCTATATTTAAGAAGAAATGTTGGTTAATTTTTGAGTGTAGTATCTTGTTTTGACCACTGGATGGTAGTATAAGACTGTTTGAACAGAAGGATGGATAGTGAGGGAGTGAGCAGCGTGCCTCTTTACGAAAAATGGGAAAGAGGCCCCTTGCCATGACATGGGCTGTCTCTCCTTCCTTTTTTGGGGGGGTTTCAAAAGGGCGAACGCTCGGTGTGGTTTGAGCTCTTTAGCTTAGCATTTGTTACACAAAACTTTAAAAAATAAAATAAAATCAGTAAACAGGTTCTCAGCTTCTTTTTACAGAGAAAAAAACAACTTTTTAGGTTTCAATCATGAATTTTGGAGCTTTGACAAGACGGAGGTTCCCCCCCACCCCGAGGTCGGCCTGTTAGCTTAGCTCGTAGCTTAGCTT